ATATCATCTCTCAAGAGATCTGTTAGTTTAAATAAACTTTCTTTTAGAATTAGAATTGAAAAAGACCAAAATTAATGTTTTATATCGGTGAAAACTTTAGCAGCTTTCAAAGGAAAGTGATGAAAACCGTAAAGTAAACATTTAAGCTCAAGGTTAATTAATTTAAACTCTTTTCAGTTTGTCATCATAACACAGATGAAAGCTGACTGTGATGGGGTCGGGAGTGTGTGATGTCAGTGATGTCATCCCTGTAGGGAGCCTAAAGTCACGCCCATCTACTTCCGAACCACGGGTTCTCGGAAGAACGAAAAAATGAATGCAAGTCAACGGGGCTAAACGGGTAGGTTTTGTGTTAAAATTACGCCCAGGACTACAAATGCATCACCAAATTGACGTCAGCGAACCAGATGCGGGGAAAACAGAGGTAAAATGGTCGTAAGTTCTGCAAACTTCACACCCTTCCTTCAGGAGGAAAGAACCACCATAAATCTGGCCATGTGGTAAGTAGCAGCTATGCTAGGGGAGAGGAGATTATGTGGTGATGTCATATATGCAACTTGCCGATGTCCGGTTTTGTCGTCATGTAGGGCTGCACGATATTAGGAAAACCTGCGATATTTGATAACAGTGATTAATATTGTGATGACGATATTACTTGCGATAAATAACAGCTCAACTCCAGAACAAAAATGATCAAAAACAAAGAAATAAAAAAAAATCATAAAAATGAGAAAAGCTAAAGATGTGAGGAGAGGGAAAAAGAAAATGAACCAGAAAAGGCAATCAGTGGATCCGGGGAAAAGCTGAATCAGCAAAAAGAGCAAAACAAAGCTAACTCAGGTGTTTGCTAACCATCAAAATTAAGTACCGTCCACCTCGGGGGCGGGCATCTGACCTATGAGAACCCAACCAATTGGCCAAATGGGTGAAGAGCTCTATTTGATTTGTTAAAAAAAAATCATGCTTCCATTTGATTGACAGAACGCATTATGTTTAGTTAACATTTGAGCTGACCATTCATTGCGATATTTTTCTGTTCTTTGCGATATACATATTGTGGATGCTGATATCGCGATAACGATATATTTACGATATATTGTGCTGCCCCATCGTCATGCTAATTATGAACTTTTACAAGCTGGTAAATCTCAAAGCATGTGACTGGCGTGGTCGAGACACCCATCACTAGTTTTCATTTGGAACCAGTTGCCTTTGGTGGTGCGTCAGTCACCCTCATTGGGGGTTTTTAAGACTCACCTTAAGACCCATTTTTTTGTCAAGGCATTTCAGGATTAGCAAATTTTACCTGGTTTCGATGCCACGGCCTCTTAATCTTTTTCTGGATTTTATTTTTTGCTTTTACTCTCCTCTTTTAATTGATTTTATGCTGGTTTTAAAATTGTTATATTTTATTCTGATGGTTTTATGTTTTTATTGTGTTGTGTTCAGCACCTTGGGCA